AGCATATTTGCTTTTGAAAAAATACCCTGGAGGAATATTTTTACGATTGGTTGGATGRTATATTTCATTTAGCAATGATTCCAGACAAAACGGAACTCATTGCTAATGTGAAATAGAATTGCTTTCTGAAATCCCTGCTTTCAAAGAATTCTTCGCCCAACTCTGCTCTCTATAGTTCAATTCAGTTGGTCTCCGATCTTTACTTCTTGTGAAAGCTCATTTGGTTATCGCTTAAAAAATCGGAAAAGATGCAGCATGTTTATTCGCTCATTGGAAATGGCTTAAATAATCATTTTTCGTCCAACAGGTCAGGTTAATGTTGTTATAAGTATTTACTACCACTTTTAAGCTTTTTGTTCAAATAGTTCTGGAATTCAAGGATTCCATGCCTTTGGTCAAGTTAAGGAGCCTAACGACGAACATTCCGTAAATTTCYCAGACCTGGACWACACACCTGYTAATTTAGATCACTACCCCGCAGAKAYTACTCCTAGCGGCATCTTCTCCGCAAACATGTCTCTGAGGGATATGTGGATGGGGCGAAGGAGCTGGAGAAAAGGCGCAAGGAGTGCATCAAGCTAATTCTCTTTTAAATTTGTCTGCAGAATTGTAGGAAACTGTAAAGCCGAAGAGCAAGAAAAGACACCCTTACCAAAATTTCATCAGGATGAGAACTATTTGATCTTCTGTCTTCGTGCACGGTCACTGGATCAAACGGTCTCGCGCAGGCTCAGCGAGGAAGTGGTCAGAACTAAACACTTCACCGACAGCAAAAATATTCAGGCCCAAAGTGGAACATATTAGATATTGATATAGGTTGAAAACATCTTAACACTTTCTTCGCCACAATCAAGCTTTCGCCAGACTAAGATTGAAGCACTTCGGTTGCTAAACTTTCTAAAACCCACCGAATTGGCTCGAATCGATTAATAATCCARCTTAATAAGTTTATGGCTAGCTCTAGATGCTTTGTAGATATGCGACGGTTTTTTCGAACCATAACTTGGATTYCTGGGCATTGCAAAAGTCAAGGTATGAAGACTCATCTTAAGTATCTCAGGAAATTTCAAAGCGTAGTTGCTAAAACCACAAATGACTGCAAGACATAATGCAGACCCTCAAAAAAAGAATTTCCAAACTGCATATAACCAGTCCAAACAAAAAAGCATCGTAGGCACAACATGTGCGGTACATATATAAGTAAGTATATGTGTATTTATGGACTTTTGGAACACTGAGCAGGCACTTCGTTAAAGCACTTTTGCTTGAGTACCGCTTACGCAYGCGCATGTGTTCCTATTTACTTACACTTTTGGCAGCAGCCTGTGCATGAAGCTTTGTGTGTGTGTATGGGAACGAAACAAACGCGAGTTATGAAACAATTAGAAAAGTTTTGGCCTCGTGTTCTCAGGCACCCGAAATTCTGTTTTATAATGCATATTTCCCGTAGGTTGAAAACGTTGCAATTCAGTTGGTTGCATGCGTGTGTGTGAGTGCAAGTACCATATATGCTAATATGTTCGTATGTGAGCATGAACTTGTTTGAAAAGCTCAGACGGGTAATTGCTATTYGAACYTCTTAATGGTCGGGCAATGGAACGTCTGCTCCATCGTCATCGATTGGGGAATCCGGTTCGCCCTCTTCTGGCGTTGTCCGTTCACTGCCATTCAGCAGGCTGGAGAAGTGTTCCCTCCATAATTTAAGTATGCTCTGGGCATCGGTAACTAGATCACCTTTGGGGATTCTACAAGAATATGATCCGGTCTTAAAACCTTCTGTAAACCCCCGCATTTTTTCGTAGAGTTTTCTCTCCGCTGCAACACGGCACTCCTTGTCGTACCAGCTGTTCTTTTGCATTTTCCGAAAACCAATGGTTATACCAACCTTATACCGAGTTGTTGACGAGTACTCTCAGAGTGTGCAATTCGAGTAGAAAATAGTTCGGCTGTCTGTTGTGATTGCAGCTACTCGACGTTGAACCTTCCTTGTATTTGTTGGCGTCTTGGCTACAACAAGATAGTGGTCCGAGTCGATGTTAGGACCGCGGAGCGCACGCACATCTGAAATACTGGAGACGTGTCTTCCGTCTATCACAACATGATCGATCTAGTTGGTGGTTTTTCGATCCGGACGCAGCCAGGTAGCTTGATGAATCTTCTTATGCTGGAATCTAGTACCACAGAAAACCATATTTCAGACCCGGCATAGTCGATCACACTCAACCCATTTGGGGATATTTCCTCGTGGAGGCCGTATGAATTTACCGACCGTAGTGCCAAAGACACCGTCTTTGCCCACCCTGGCGTTAAAGTCGCCAAGCACGACTTTYATAACGGGGTATCCACTTAGAGGTATATTTTTCAATAGCCATTTTTTAACAGATCACACGTGAGCCGTGTCACGCTGTTATGTTAATGTTGTTTAGCATTAACTTACGCCTGAACAGCGTTTATAAATCCTTCAACTTCGTTATGAAAGTTCACGTTCTGCAAAGAATGTGTTTCGCGCCCTTCGCTCAATGGTCAACATAATCGTCACACTGAGCGTACTATTCGCAACACCATCACCCATCTTAAAATCGAGCATATATTACTGATAATATTCAACCGAATACAACACATCCAGCACGCATTGAAGAATATATAGTGTACACGAAGACCGTGGAGAGTCGATTCGACGCCGTTCGCAGCAACTTCGACTGACGTATGTAACRATTTGGCGTATTTTACGTCGAGATTTTAAATAAAARGCCTCACTTCGCTATGAGCTTTGGAAAAGTTCCAGGAAAATCCGACGTTTTCGAGTCAAATTTTGTTCTGCGATAAGGCCCATTCTAGCTCAATGGGTATGTAAAAAGACAAAATTGCCGGACGAAGAGACACCTAAAGAAATTCAAAAGATACCATTTCACACATAGTTGTAAAAAACAGCGGTTTGTTGTGGTTTTCGATGATTCCATCGTTCCATATTTCTTCAAAAATGATGCCGGTGAGAACGTAAACGTTAACGGCGATCGATCCCTGAATTTGAACCTGATGACCACGGAGACATTTGGTTATGACATGACGGTTCCACTTCCTACTCATTGCATCAATCAATGAATTTATTGAAAGAACTCTTCGGTGAGCAGATAATTTAACGTTTTGTGCCGGTCGATTCGCCACCAAAAACATGTGATATCACACCATTCGACTTTTTCCCGTGGGCTAAATATCACGCGTGTTTGCCATTTACCACTCGAAATGTGATCAAAAATTGGACTCAAGGGATGGACCATCTGCGATGTAGTCGCGGCCAATATTTGAGAGAGATAATCATCAAAACTTAGTTGCCAAACAATGCCCTTTTGAATGATAATAAACATTCCCATTCTTCAAATTTAGAAGTTTCTGTTGTTTTCCTATAAAAAAAAAGTAGAGAACCTCGAWATGGATCATCCTTTATTATATTGAAAGAAACACATTATTTGGTTATGAGAACAAATTATAATTTATTTCATTCAGCGCCTTTATTTACTATTCAGCGGTATGATTTGAGAGTTTAAACACAGTCACAGCTTTGTAATGAATTAAAAGCAGCTATTAATAACTTTTTTCTAAAATTAAGTTATTCAGTGTAGTATTTCCCAAATATAATATATAAACCCAACTGATGTTACTAGCCGTCAAAATGAAAATAACTTATGCTTATATGTCTACTCTGTCTCTTTGGTCTTAAATATTGTTATTTGTTAGCTAAGAAAGTWACTTACACTTAAATTTTGAGTAGCATAAGACGCACTAATGCTTTTGAGTTCAGAAAAAATCCAATATTCGCACTTAAAATGCTATTCAGCACCCCTTAAGAGTCAATAATGTTTTGTTATATATGTTGTCTATTGGCCTATAAGTATTAAAATTATTGGGCCAACGTTGCTAAATACTCGCCCACACATATCTCAGCAAAAATTATGTTGCCTTTTGACGTCTTTAGCTATTCAGCGTTGAGTTCTCAATATTATTTTGAGCCTTAGGAATCTACCCTAACGAATTTTTTCTATTATTCTTAATACTAACTAATATTTAGG